TGAAATAATCGTTTCATTTAGCTGTACTAACATGATGGAGCGTGAATAAAGCTAATTAAACGTTGTGAAAAGATGATTTTTTTTCTTTAGGATCGATTTTATACCTGACCCATCATCAAAGGTATCGTTAGTACTATCGTCTGTTTTCGTTTTTGGGAGCGTTTCACAAGCACATGGTTGTTAATTTATTTTACTATAATTCGACATGAAACCAGTTATTTTATTTAAAATATATAGCAATAGGCTATGAAGTATTCTATTCAGGTTCAAAGCATTACATTATACCATACGATACTGTATTACCTATAACGCTCCTCAAATTGGAACAGAAAAGCTTTTCAAACCTTCAAATACTATGGAAAAATTTCTAATGTGAATGCTTTTCAGGGATGGCAACATCAGTACTTTGATCAAGGATGAAGGTAGTTTATATGGGCCACAGCATCCAAATAATGAATTAGTTTAATGAAAATACTTACTTTTCCTTCTGTAGATATAATTTTTGCGTTGAATTGGTCCAAAATGGAAGTTAAATAAAAACTGACGCATATAATAAAAATAACGGGATAGTTCAAAATCATATTCTCCCATATTTCAAGCACCTAAAAAGTATTGTATATGTATATGAAATAAAGAAAAAAGATAGATAAATTATTAACATATTATTATTATATTTTGATTGTTTTTAATTTAATTTGAATTATCAGCTTAGGTTCTGAACGCCCACCGCACAATTTTATACTATATGAGCAGCCCGAGTTTGATTTCTGTTGCATCATGAAATTTTTAATTATAAGTTAGGGTACTGATTTACCTTGTACTCGGAGATATAAAAAAAATATCTTGAAGAAAGTTTCATGCCTGATAAAAACTGCCAAGTGCAAATGAAGCTTCTCTGTATACAAGAATTCCGTACATATTATGGCCACATAATTAACTAAGCAAGATATTTAATTAAGTAAGGATTTTTTTCTTGGTGTTAGCGACGTGCTCAAAAATCGTTATACAAATTTGTATTAGCTTAAGGTGGCGGGTATGACGGCCCAATCATCTCATATGTTTTAAATATTATATTAAATTTTAAGGTAGAAATCGAACGGTGACGCAGTCAGTCAGCCTTTACTATCGCTCGCGACACACGTACCTTCGCTCTCTCTCATATGCTTTGTTCGTGTACCTACGTTGTGTAATTTAAAATAAACGGTTTTAACGAATTTTTGGTTTTCGAGTTTTCCTACCATTTTATCGCGCCAGTGCACCCTTTACAAAGTGGTCCTTCGTGCCGGATCTAATGTTCAGCACGCCGCCTGCAAAAATGGTAAAAACTCGAAGCACTAGACGCAAGGAGCTCGAGAGCAAAGAGGACGAAAATCAGGAAGTCCAGTTACAAGTGCAGCCTCAGCCAACTGATGGAAATACACAGAAGGATAAACAGACACCGACCGCTAGCCAACTATATGATGTTGCGGGTAGCAGCGTCAAGCGCGAGTACCGCTTGCAACAGCCGCCCGCTTCGCGCACCGGGGCTAAGTCAACATCCACCTCGTCCTCTCTGATGGCCAGGAGAAAGAAACTGGAACTAGAGATGGCTAAAGAAAAGGCTAAAATTCAAATGGATCTCATCGATAAGCAGTTTCAGGCGGATTTAGCAGACCTTATGGATGAAAAAGAGAAAATACACAGTCCACATAGTGACCCGCACGACGACACCAAGAATAAGAAAGTGGAGCAATGGTTAGAACAAAGCCAGCTCGAGCACGAACCCCCGTTGCACGCTCCAGAGTTCGGTGATCAGCCGGGCAAGCAGTGTCCGCCGACGGCACCCGTTGCCGGCCCATGTGACGGAACGGTTCATATGCTCGCGAGCGCACTACAGAATCTATCCTCGATCTCTGCAAATAATGGGACAAACAACAACCTGCTTAGTCGCATGTGTACCCCACGGGACCTACCTAGTTACTCAGGGGACTCGCTGGAATGGCTCCAGTTCAAGCAGGCTTATGACGAGTCTACCGAAGTGTGCGGGTTTAGCCCGAAGGAAAATTTATGGCGTTTAAGGAAGTGTCTTCACGAGCCAGCTAAGGAAGTAGTCTCAGCTCTCATGGTAAGCGCTACATCACCCGACGTAGCGATAAAAACTTTAGAGCTACTATACGGTAACGCAGACACCATTCTAAGCAAAATTACCCAGGGCCTGAAGAAACTACCACCTATGTCGAACGAATACAACAAAGACATTGTGTCGTTCTTAGTTAAAATTCAAAATTTCATCGCAGCTGTGCACGCCGTCGGCCGAGAAGAGTACATGCAAGGAATGCATATTTCAAATATTATTTTATCCAAGATGCCTACCGTACTAATATCAAAATGGTCCGATTATAGTTTTGCTATAATAAGGGAAGGAAAGAAATCACGTTTGAATATATTAGGCGATTTTTTAAATCAAGAAGCTGTGAAAATTTCGACTACAGCGAACATACACGCCACAGAGGCTCGCAGCGTCGGATTTCAGCAGCACTACAAGAGTAAACCTGACAGCAACATCACCAGTCGTCCTCATGCAGTATTAGTGCAATCAACGCACAGTGACATTAAGTGTTTATTTTGCAACGTCGCAAAACATAAATTAACTGAGTGCAAAATGTTTAAAAAAGCGTTGCGCAAAGACAGGTGGCGTCACGTTAAACGCCACGGCGTATGTTACAAGTGCTTAGTGTCGCGCCACGATCGAGAAACGTGTCCTGCGGCCGTCTGCGACAAGGACGGCTGCGGCGAGGCACACAACCGGCTGCTGCACTACGTGCGCGACGCCGGCCGGGAGCCGCGCGACGCCAGCCGGGAGCCGCGCGACGCCGGCCGGGAGCCGCGCGACGCCAGCCGGGAGCCGCGCGACGCCGGCCGGGAGCCGCGCCCCGCCCCGCCCGGCGCGGGCGACACCGGCGACGCGGCCCACAGCGGCCACACTTCCGGAGCCGCAGCTGCTACTGTGACACACATTAACTCTGCACACAACGTGTTATTGAAAGTAGTACCTATAAACATACATGGACCTAATGGTGTAATCAGCACGACTGCATTGCTCGACGACGGATCAACAATAACATTGATAACCGGCTCCCTCGCTGCTCGGGCCGGCCTGCGCGGCCGCACTGAGACTATGCGCGTGAGCGGAGCGTGGAGCGGTAGCGATGTTATTGTTGATTCTACTGTTTTGTCTATAAATGTGTCTGATAAAAATAATTGTAATATGTCTACCATTAATGCACGAAGCGTAAACAATTTAAAATTGCCTGAGCAAAATCTTTATTCAATCGATTGTAGTCAGTATGCTCATTTGAAAAATTTGAAACATGATTTAATATTTTGTAATAATAATATTAAACCTGAAGTACTAATCGGCAAGGATAATCATCATTTGTTAGCTCCTATTGAAATGTGTATCGGTAAACGTAATGAGCCGTCCGCTACTCGCACCACTCTAGGCTGGTCCTTACATGGAATAACGCGCGCACCGCCACACGGCACCCGCGCCTCGCACCCGAGCCCTCTGCTGTACTGCAGCGCGGGGCCCGCCGCGCCCGCCGCCGGTGATGCCGATGACTTGCTTCGCGAACTTCATGACGAGGTAAGGCGGTCATTCATGCTCGATTCCCTAGGTGTGTGTAGCAAACCCCGTGATAACAGCGAAGACGTGCCCGCGCGCGCTCAGGTGGAGCGCTCGGCAACGCTCGTGGCGGGCCGCTGGCACGTCGGGCTTCCGTGGCGCGATGAAGGCTGCGTGTTGCCCGATAGCTACGCTAACGCTTGCAACAGGTTCAAAGAAGTAGAAAAAAAGATGGTGGCGAACCCTGACTACGCCAAACGTTACTCTGAACGATTGGATCACCTTTTACTTAATGATTTCGCTAAAGAGTCGACTGATATTCGGCGCACACCGCGAACGTGGTATTTACCACACTTTGGGGTCGATAATCCTAATAAAAAAAAGTTGCGTTTCGTTTTCGATGCAGCAGCGAAAAGTCACGGAAAATGTTTAAATGATTACCTATTGCAAGGTCCCGACTTACTCGCGTCCCTATTCGGCATTATGGTACGTTTTAGAGAGAATAGGGTCGCTGTAGCCGGGGACATTAAAGATATGTTCCTGAGAATTAAAATAAGGGACGAGGATCAAAATTCCCTTAGATTTTTGTGGAGACCTCGCCCCGAACAATCGGTCAAAACTTTTAACATGACTTCGCTCATATTCGGTGCTAATTGTTCCCCATTTATAGCACAGTACGTGAAAAACAGGAACGCGGAACGTTTCGTTTCGTCGCTGCCCGCTGCTGCCGACGCTATCTGCAACCAGCACTACATGGACGACTATCTGGACAGTTTCCCGGACGAAGCCACCGCGACGCAGATGGTAAGAGATATTGTTTACATTCACAAAGAGGGCGGCTTCGAAATATGCAATTGGAATAGTAACAGTGTAGTAGTGTTGGACAGCATACCAAAAGACACCTTAGGTACAGTGGCGGTAAGTCTCAAAATGGGTCAGCAGTGCGAAGGAGAACGAACGCTCGGTCTTATTTGGTTTCCCGCTAAAGACGAGCTGGGGTTTGATTTATCCTTCAAGCGCATTCCAGAGTACGTAGTGAACGGAGCACAAGTGCCTACTAAAAGAGTTATGCTGCGAGTAATTATGTCTATTTACGATATTTTTGGTTTCTTGTCGCCGTTCAAAAATACAAGGTAAAATAATGCTTCAAAATCTTTGGCGATCAAACATTGGCTGGGACGACGAGATTCCCAATAGCATTTTTAATAAATGGAAAACCTGGATCGATTTGCTAAAGGAAATGAGTAATGTACGCATTCCTAGGTGCTACCTAAGCCCTCTAGGTGCGAGCGAGACAGGTGATCACATGGCAACGGACACAGCTGATATCGTAGCAAGTCAGTGCTCCCCCGCGCCCCGCGGCCCGCCTACGCCCGCGCAGCCCGCTACGGCCTCTATGCGACTGACCGGGAGCTACGAAACCGCGCGAGCTACGAGTGCTACGAAGTACAATAACACACAGCTGCATGTTTTTTGCGATGCATCTACTAAAGCGATGTGCGCTGTAGCTTATTGGCGGTGGACGTGCAATGGTAATGTGTTTGTTGCATTTATAGCAAGTAAATGTCGAGTTGCGCCGGTAAAACCACTGACTGTGCCGCGACTAGAGTTGCAAGCAGCGCTTCTAGCGGCGAGACTCGCCGACACCATTGTTAAGGAGCATAAGTTGAGCGTGTTACAGCGATTCTTTTGGAGTGACTCGACCACGGTTTTGCACTGGATTAATAATGACGCGAGAAATTATAAAACATTTGTAGCAAACCGGTTGGGCGAGATTGATGAGGTCACTAGTAGTAAAGAATGGCGATACGTGCCTACTGAATTAAATGTTGCGGATATAGCTACACGCGAAACCTACGACGACGCCATTTTTAAGAGTGTATGGTTGGGGGGCCCTACGTTTCTGCGTGACGATGAGTCATCGTGGCCGCGTCACGTCATTCGTCCTGACAACTGAATGTGTTAACCTGGTAACACATGTGGTTACTACGGACATCCCTAGTGTCGAGCCTACTCCCGATCCGGAACGGTTTTCTTCGTGGCTGCGGTTGCTCAAAAGTACAGCCGCTGTTCTTAGATTTATATGTAAGTGCAGAAAACGTACCGATGACGATTGCGAATTAATGGAACAGGCTAAACGTTTGCTGTTCCGGCGGGTACAGAGCGAGGCCTTCGGCACGGAAGTGAGCGCAATTAGAGAAGGTAAATGTTTGCCCGCAACAGTCGTATTCTCAACTTGTCACCTTATTTGGACGAGCACGGCGTCCTTCGTTGCGGCGGACGCATTGGTGCGGCACTTGATGTCTCTTCCGAGACAAAAAACCCGAGTATCCTCGACGGGCGACATCGAGTGACGCGATTGTTGGTAAGACATTTCCACATAAAAGCTGCTCACGGAAACCAGGAGACAGTGGTAAATAACCTAAAGCAAAGGTACTGGATCATTAAAATGAGACCCACTGTTAAACATGTAGCTGCCGGATGTATGATCTGCAGAATAAGGAAGGCGAAACCGGAAATGCCAGTGATGGGTGATTTACCTCCCGCTAGAGTGGCGCATCACCAGCGAGCTTTCACACACTGCGGTGTGGACCTATTTGGACCAATGGAGGTGGTGGTAGGGAGGAGAAGGGAAAAACGGTACGGTGTCATATTTACATGGCTTACAGTTCAGGCTATACACCTGGAGATCGTGCATTCCCTCACTACTGACTCACTGATTATGGCCCTCCGGCGTATGGCTGCCCGCCGAGGGTGGCCACGCTGCCTTTACTCCGATAACGGAACTAACCTACGTGGCGCTGATGCGGAGCTACTGAAGTCGATCCAGGAACTTGACGACGAGACCCTGAAGAACGAGGCTGCTAACAATGGGACGCAATGGTCTTTTATCCCACCGGCGAGCCCCCATTGGGGGGGGGGGGGGGCGTGGGAGCGTTTAATACGTAGCGTTAAGGTATCTCTAGGGGCTATACTCAAAGAGCGTGTCCCCAAAGATGAAGTTCTCGCCACCTATATGACTGAAGTCGAGAATATAGTCAACAGCCGCCCCCTAACTCATGTGTCTGTAGAACCTGGTAGCGACGAGTCGTTGACGCCAAACCATTTTCTGCTGGGTAAGAGCTCCAACTTACCTGCTGCAGGTGTCTTTGATGACTCTGACCTGTACCTACGAAAACAGTGGCGAAAGAGTCAACGCTTAGCTGATATGTATTGGCGCAGATGGGTAACAGAGTACCTACCGGAGCTGATACCTAGAAGGAAGTGGAATGAGGAGCGCGAACCGCTAAATGTAGGTGATCTCGTGCTGGTTGTGGACCCTGGAGCGCCACGCAACGTGTGGCAGAGGGCGATCGTGGAACAGGTGTTTCCAGGCAAGGACGGCCGGGTCAGGTTGGTTGAAATCAGAACCAAATCAGGGACGCTGAGACGTTCAGCGGCGCGCGTCGCTAGAATTCCTTTGTCTGAGTAGTGCTGAGTCAGCACTGGGGTGGGGTAAGTTAGCGACGTGCTCAAAAATCGTTATACAAATTTGTATTAGCTTAAGGTGGCGGGTATGACGGCCCAATCATCTCATATGTTTTAAATATTATATTAAATTTTAAGGTAGAAATCGAACGGTGACGCAGTCAGTCAGCCTTTACTATCGCTCGCGACACACGTACCTTCGCTCTCTCTCATATGCTTTGTTCGTGTACCTACGTTGTGTAATTTAAAATAAACGGTTTTAACGAATTTTTGGTTTTCGAGTTTTCCTACCATTTTATCGCGCCAGTGCACCCTTTACACTTGGATTGTGTTCTTCTGCTTAATGTGCTCTAGACAATAACATCCCACATGCTAGTGGACGAAACAATTTTTTTCAGGTTTTTAGTGACATCAGTAGGGCTCCGTTTTACCATTTGGGTGCGGTAAACTAATAAAGGACACTTGAAATTTTCCAACACGCACTAGGAGATTTATTTCACTTCCCTTCTCAGAAGTGAGAGGAGGCTTGTGCCGAGTAGTGATACGGGTGTAGACTCTAATTTTTTTTTGGCGGTGGCGCTTTACAAAAATCAATCATTCCATCTTGTTCATAAATCAATGTAGTAGAAGTCACTTGCCCAAAATTGAATGCCAGAAAGTACTCGTAGTTTTACAGCGGACAGCGAAATTATTATGGCTTATACATGTTCTATAAAACATCACCTATCTATCATCCCGTATAAAAATGTATTTATTTATTTAAACATTTATGCACAAAATATCGTATATAATAATGTCCTCATGACCGAATTTCAGACACGTCGGTCAGTCTCTAGGGAGACTAGCCATCTGGGCAGGCTAGGATTGTAGTATACCCGAGTGTATGCGCAAGCACAGGTATACTCCCTAATCCCACACTTTGATAATCCGACGAGACGAAAATCTAACACGGCCGGTGAGAGATCAGGCGTAGAACCAACGACTTTACCTGCTTCCTGAGACATGAGGCTGAAACACCCCCAACTGCCTGTCTGCCAACTTCTTGACAAAAAAATCCAAAAACTGATTATAGCCCAACCCTGGATTCGAAATTGGGATCTGATTGTTTTGGTATTAAGGTTCACTACTTTTACAGGGACTGATCACAGAAACAAGGTGTCAATGATACGGTGGTTTATTTGCTACTAAACATTTAAATTACATTTTACCTTATTAAAGACCTCACTCACACTTGTATACTGTTCATCTTACATACAACACACACGCATTACAATATTGCTCGAACATGCCGCCCACCAAAGGACTCATAAAGTCCTTTATTATCTAACTTGTTACATTTCAGACATTCTCCAAATATAATAAGTTTACATGACATTTGTTATACAATATATGTGATTACATACATTTTTGATAAAGGTAACACCCTAAATTCATTAAGCTTTATAGTAATGGACATATTACAATCAAAATAAAAAAAAACTATTTGACACAATTTTCATGTAAATGGGAATACATACTAGAACATTTAATACATGCAAAATAAAATTTAACCATAAATGATTTAGAATAAAACATCAGTCTATATCTATAGGTAAAGGACACAATTTGTTCATTGGTCTTTGCACTACACTTTCACCACTTTTAACACTATACACCCTAGTCACTCCATCATGACCTGGGTGCTTATCCACCACACGACCCAGCATCCATTTGCCAGGAGGGAGATTGTCACATTTTATAAGAACAATGCGTCCTATTTCAAATTCCTTCACCTTTTCTTGCCACTTAGGTCTCTGCTGTAACCTGGTCAAGTACTCTTGTTGCCATCTTCGCCAAAAATCTGATAGAAGCTTCTGTTGATGTTGCCATCGTGACAAGTGACTGACAGGAATGTTCTTTAGATCAGAGTGGGGTACATTGATTGGAGCTTCGCCTATTAAGAAGTGCCCTGGGGTAAGTGGCAGTATGTTGTCCGTGTCTGAGTCATCAATAGGGCTAAGCGGGCGTGAGTTAAGGCAAGCTTCTATTTGACACAGTAAGGTCGTCATTTCTTCATAGGTTAGGTTGCAAGTCAATATTCTTTTCATGTGGTATTTCATTGATTTGACACCTGCTTCCCATAATTCGCCCATGTGAGGACTATAGGCAGGTATGAAATGCCATTGTGTGCCATCTAATGCTAACATTTCAGAAATATGACCCTCGAACTTCATCTTTGCGTCTGCCCAAGCTGCTACAAGTTCTTTGTTGGCACCTACGAAGTTTCTTCCCTGGTCGCTCCAGAGATGTGCACATCTTCCCCTTCTTGCTACAAATCTTCTGAAAGCTCCAATAAAGGCCTCCGAGGTAAGGTCTCCAACCAATTCTAGGTGTATGGCTTTCGTTGACATGCAAACAAAGATTGCTATGTAAGCCTTAATTGTATTAAATCCTCTACCTTTAGATCTCAGGATTTGGTAAGGGCCAGCAAAGTCTACTCCACTGTGTAGAAAGGGTCGAGCAGGCGTAATTCTTACACGAGGTAAGTCTCCCATTAATTGTGATTTAGCTACAGCGTTTTGCTTGGCACATATGAGGCAATTGCGAATTTTAATTTTTACCAATTTCTTTGATTTCAGGATCCAGTATTTTAATCTTAAATATCCAAGCATCAATTGCGTTCCACCATGTAGTGTCTTCAAGTGAGCATCAGATACTATAAGTGCACTCAAGTGATTTTCGCTGTCTAATATAATAGGATGTTTGCAATTTTCATCAAGGTCAGAGTGACGTAATCGGCCGCCCACCCTGAGGATACCTTCATCATCCAGATAAGGTAAAAGAGACTTTATTTTACTATAATTTTTTACCCTTTTTATTGATTTTAGGTTTTGTATGTCTTCTTCAAATGTGTCCCTTTGTACAATTTTGATACATGTTTTTAAAGCTTCTTCTAATTCTGTTGTAGTTATTGTAGTTGCCTTATTTTCCAATTCCCTTCCTTTGAAGAATCTTTTGCAATATGTTATAACTTTTAATAGTTCTGTTAAATTATCAAATCTGTTAAACTTAGTAGCTATACTAGAACTTTCGTTTGTTTGTTTTAGATTCACTTGTACTGATATGATCTTTCTTTCTAGGTTCGTTGTTATGTTTGCTGGTCTGCTGTATTTAATATTACTTGTGCTTAGCCATTCAGGACCGTTCCACCACATTTTATCACCTTTCAGATCTAGCACGTGCTTCCCTCTAGAAGCTGCATCAGCAGGGTTGTCTTGTGATTGGACGTGATACCAATTCTGGTTGCCAATGTTGTCTAATATCTCAACAACTCTGTTTCTCACAAATGTATTCCACCTTGCAGGATCTCCAAAAAGCCAAGAGAGTACTATGGTGGAATCCGTCCACGCGAATATTTGACAGGTAGGTATTTTCATAGCTTCCTTTATTTTTTTCAGGAGTCCCGCCAGGAGTACAGCCCCGTTAAGCTCCAAACGAGGTAAGGATTGA